CTCGTGCTTCGCACGGAAGAATGCGTCAATGACGTCACACTGCTCTCTCGGCAAAGGCCATTGCCTTGTTACGCAGTATTTGGTTCCAGGAACCAGGTCAATCTCATGACACACGCCTCGATCCGGAGACAGGCCCGTCGGTGGGTCTTTTGAGACAACGTCTCTATACTCCTTCACCACCGGGTAGAAGGGATCCGAAGGATCTTTGAGGATCGCCGATCCACTTCTTGCGCTCAGCGCCTTCTTGGTGTCCTCTAGGACCGCGTCGCCCACGACGGATGAGGAGTTCAACTCCTCCTCAGGTCCCAGCAAGACCACCTCGGCTAGCTCGCCTGCCTTTAAGGCTTCGCCGAACTCGGCAATGGACATCTCGTCCAGCTCTAGCAGAGCATCTGCAGCGGGCAGAGTATCAAGGCTGATATCGCCTTCTACCTCCCCCGCCACTCCGTTCACGAGTGTATACAGCTGTTCACAGCAATCACGTGGAGCATCACCGCTCGTCACGTTGGACGCATCGTCCGACGTCGAAGACGTCACAGACGCCCTGCGTCTTCTTCTCCTCTCCCTCCGCGACCGAGACCGGCCGGATGAGGGCGGTGTGGCGACATCGCCGTCACCACCACCGGGTGCAGCAGCACCATCACTCCTCGAAGAGGATACAGTGTCTCGCAAGACACTCGGCTGAAAGCCAAGAGGTTCTTGACCTTCACACAGTGAACTAGGTGTCACTTCACCTGCATCTCCTGGGCCACGCCCATGATGCCTCGACTCGCAGTCGACCGCGACCCTCGGGTCACGCAGCGGTAGGTCATCGACCAGATTCATACGACTCAGTGGATTACGCGCCACTCCGCGCTCGTCCTCACCAGGACCCAGCAGTTGGTCATTGACCTGACCTGCACCGCTCCGCGGATAACGTGCCGCACCACGTACGCCCTCAGGGCAAACAGCAACCTCGTTGCTAACAATTTCGGACATACCAATGTCCAGCACTACGGCCGCCTCGGCCTCGTGCTCGCGCCAAAAGCGCTTCTGCTTCCTAGCAGAGGTGGGTTCATGACTCACCAAAGCTCCACTAGGAGCAGGGTGCGACGCACCCAGCGTTTTCGACTTCCAGTCGATCCATGGCTCATGACGTTCCAGCCATGCCATGCCAAGGATGAGGTCATACCTCGCATCCAGGTCTAAGACCAAACAGCGTTCCACGCTATCGAAGTTCTCAAACTTCACTCCAAGGTCGACAGAGACCTTCGACACAGGTACCAGTGTCCCCGTCGCGAGACGGACAGAGATCGTATCTCTCGTTGGCACTTCCAGTGCCTCGGCATACAGCTGACTCCCTTCCAGGGTGGAGCGACGGGCGTAGTTGCCCGAGGCTCCCGAGGCAATCAAGACTCTCCATGGCTTTGCAAAGCCCTTCACGTTCGCTTGAACGACCAGCAAGCCCGGCTTGCACACACTCTTCTCGTAAGAGAGATCAGCTCTCTTCGGGGCTGAGCCCCGTTGCCCTCTACCTCTTCGAGGCACAACAGAACTCAGTTCTTCCCCAGTAGGCCGCCCCGCGCCTACTGGGAGTTGCCGTTTCCCGGCGATGACCCGGAGGGTCGGCTCGCCGGAGCCTCGCGCTTCTTGCGCAGAGGGCAATAGGCCCTCAAGTTCTTAGTGCTATTGCACACAAAGCATCGGCGGATGCCGGCGCGCTGCTCCGCAACAAGAATCTCCGCTTCTTCATCTTCAGCATAGCTGAGGTCCATCGGCTCTGGACCGCTCGAAGAGCTTGCGCTACCAGCGCTCCAACCAGGTCGCGCCGACCTGAAGTTATGCTCGGCATTCAATGCCACATCCACCGCCTCTTCAAAAGAGTTAGGGTGTACACGGAACACTTCCGTTCGAGCTGCGCTCACACGAAGTCCCTCCATGAACACGGTCACGCTGACCAGTTCCGGAAGAGGGTCCGCCGCCATTCCGGCGATAAGAGTTCTCAACTAATGGACATAGTCCAATAAATCCTTCTTACCCTGGCGGGTAGCAAGGAACTTTGACCGGACACGGTACGCCTGATTAGGCGGCGCGAACACGCGCGAAAGCTGTTGCTTCAGCTGATCCCAAGTGGGAAATGCAGCGTCAACAGACGTGCCGCACGTTAGTGCCCATTCGCGAGCGCGACCTCCAAGCCTGGAGATAGCCAGCGCCACGCGCTGATGCTCAGACTGGAGCAGGGCCGATCTCATGGCCATCTCGACCTCACGGGTCCAGAGAAGGAGATTCTCTCCATCCTTCCCCTCGAAGGTTTTTACGCTCACCATGAGCGGTTTCAGTCTCATAGACTCTTCACGCGTCATCGACGCCGCCGCCGTTGCGGCGCTCATCTTCTCTTGGACATGCTCCAAGAGCGCGTTAGCGGGAGAACGATTCCAGCCTGGCAGTGACCGCCTCTGGACCTTGCGATGCAAGATGAGCCACGCCCTCCGGGCCAAGCAAGGACATAAGCTTAGTAAGCGCGTCCTGCTGCGCCGGGGGCAAATTCGCGAACACGGGGTGTTCCATCCTCGCAGAGGATATAGTCAACCGACTCAGGAGCGGGATTGACTACAAGTGCTACCAAGTGCAGTGGGGCTGCCGTAGCTTTAGCGTCAGAGGAAGACGTTCGACTCAAAGAGTCACGGATACTAAGTTCCTTATCCAAAGGACACTTACAGCCCAAGACCAGGGCTCAAAGTTAACACCTTAACTTTTATGCTTCAAAACCAGAAGTGTTTTATTTACTATTATTGCGGCCAAGCCGCCTAGGGGTAAATGTATCTCTTTAACTATCTAGCATAGTTAAACCTAATCAAATGCATAACGTGTGGCTTTCAGCCAACGTACTGAGAGACCTTGTTAGCTCTACGACTTATGTACTGAGAGTTTGTTAACTCTCCGGGTACTTCGTACCCCTGTGTGTCCCACACCATGTAACCCCGTTACATAAGTACTTTTCTACTTCGGAGGAATATAGTATTTCTAAGTGAAAAGAGCCTCACACGTCCTAATACACGTGTGCTACACTGTAACGTGTAAGCCCAAGTAGTGGACAACGACTACACGCAGGGGTCTTATGTCGGCGCTGAAAAGGTTTGCTCGCTGAGGTGGACTTTAGCAACATAAAAGCGAAAGAAGTGGGAATCAATGCATATTTCAGCCGTACGTGCAAAAGTTTGGGCCATGACAAGTTCTATAGCTGCCGACAACTCGTTATCGTGTCTGATTGTCGGTACTTATTTTCACCAAGTTCGCAAAAAGCACGCACTGGATAAATTACCGGGAGCCCAAAGATGTTCAATTCGTAGTCTAGTATGGTATTTTTGAGTAGGATCTTTAAAAAGTATTGTATCTTGATCTGTGGAAGCCTCACAAATAGCCTACAATTTAAAATCGTGTCCCAAACAGGGGTTTATGCTAGATTCATAATCAGTGATACTAATTTAGTGATAATATTACCTGGTAGACCAGCTAATAAAAAATATTACCTGGTAGACCAGCTAATAAAAAATATTACCTAATATGTTCTTCAGAGGCAAAGTGGTACTATTAAATGTTAATTTCAAATGTGCTACTACTATTTTTTTAAATTGCGTAAATGGGATAGGTACCCAGTGGTCCGTATAAAGTCTGCAGAGCCAACAAAACAAAATCAAAACAGTGTCCCAGCTACAGCGCGCCTTTTCTTACAATATTGTGAGCAAAGCGACGGTTTCAAATGGACAGAAGTATCTTGTGCGAGATTTTACGCCTTCAGCCGTTTTTACGGCTTTGACTTGAAAATACTTTTTACACCGGTTGCAGAAAACCCGTAAATTCCTGTACACTAGCCATAAGTCGCTAAAGCTCGACTAGCTGAAGTATAACTAATCACAGTCAGGTCTGATCGAGTCCGGGACAACTAAATTGTGGGAGTGACGGCTATCGGTAGAGAACAAGAACAAATACCTTGATCTCGCTCTGTCGAATTCAAACAACTGCAACCGTTTGCGGTTCTCCATCTCGATCGGCTTTGTATGTGTCACAGTGAAATACTTGAAATACTTGAACAAACACTTGTAAGCCTACCATCATTACTTCTATTTTCAAATCAAGATACGTACTTAAGTGGGAATATTAAATATTATTAGCGATAATATTTTTTTTCAAATAACTGAGCTAATACTAAATATCATGAAAAATTGAGCTACTATTGCTATTCAATTTCGAAAATAGTACAATTTACTATCGAAAATATCACTTGATATTTGGTTACCATCAGTTGTCGCAGAACCAAAATCTGGTCCAGATCGTAAGGCCAAACTGATTCGAATGGTGTTCATGGCATATACTTCATGCCATAGATAAGCTGATCCAAATCGTTTGATTTCGTTTCCCGGAGTTTACGCTTGCAGATGGCTTGTATGTTTGGCCAATGAGCTGGTTGCACAATACATGAAAACCGGTACATGTACGAGCTAGTTCGAAATACAGTACTGTATATCACAGTACACGCTGGCGTATAACCTCACTGCACTGTATAAAAAATTGCAATACCTTACGGTCAGGTTTCTGGGAGCACGGCACATTACAGAACAGTAAGTTGGTATTATCTCATGCTGACGTGTGTACATCTGAAAGAATGGGAGCGCCAAGAATCTACTCAGCATTATTGAAGCATCGTCGTGAAACCGTTATAGTTCGCGACGAGCGATAAACTTCTTCAACAGTCATTCAGTAATGTCCCGCGTTGACCATAAATGTAAAGACATGTACGACTTTGTGGCATTACCCTTTATACATTTTCGCAGGTTTGCACTACTCTTGCCTAATTCATTTTTTTTAGACAAATCACTGGTTCGCATTGATTTATGGTACTCCTGTGATCGAGCAATTCTGTCAATTCAAATACCGTAAACATTAAAAATCATCGAGCGAAAGAGGCACACGAAACCTTGTTTCATTTTAGAAACTACCACGCTTCCCACCCTCCGCCTACGATGCGCTTAAGCCTTTTCCTCGTGCTTGTTGTCGGTTTTGGTGCAGCCTGCCTCAATTTTGCCGACGCTGAGAAACAAGTCACAATCACACAGCTCGACGACGCTGTGGATGATGTTGCTACGAAAATTAAATCGAATTCTGGCAAGCTCAGAGGTGGGACCAGTGCTGCAGCGAAAGGAGATGCCAAGCTTAAAGAAGCCGCAACAATTGCGACTTCTTCTATAAAGAACTGGGACGATGCGATCGGCAAAATGAAATCCGGCGCGAAGCTGAAGCCATTGGAAACAGCTTCGGGCAAATGGAAAGGCGACTTCGACAAGCTGAAGGCGTCAGGCCAGCTCAAAGACCTTGATGAGAAGCAGGCTGCGAAGCTCACGGAGGATGTTGCACAGGAGGTCGTGAAGAACCCGTCCAAGGGGCGTAGATTCAAGAAGGCTCTCGAAATTGCGTTTGGAGTAGGTGTGACATCGCTTATTGCTGTAGGCCTCAACGTGATGGCTTCGTAGTCCACGTAAGCGCTTAAACGTGGAGTGAGGCGAATCTAACTGCCCGTGCTGGTTGGTCGGAGTAGTTTACTAACAATGTTAACGACAGCAATCGAGCTTGAGGCACAACAAACATTTACGCCTGGTGGCAAACGACCACAAGTGTCGATCGTTTTAGGCAAGATTTATGTCGTACTGAAGCTCGGTTTATTTGACCGTATATGTCGATACGGAAACCTCGATTCATTTAAAATAAAAGGTTTTTTTTTCTTACCAAAACAAGTGAAAATAACCAAAATTATTTATCGACCAAACCCTGTACTATTTAATCACCTGTCGTATTCTCTTGTACAGTTCATATCGCTTTTGATCAATTTTCAGACCCGTTTTGATTTTACCATTTTGAACTACGAATTGTTCATTTTGAAGGTGAAAAGGTGTAGCTTACAGCATGGTGTACTAGGGCGGACGACATTGCCAACATTCAGGAGGTCTATCGCTTCATATTAGTGATTTTAGGTACAATTATTGAACATGGGATGTCAAATGCTTTTTTAGGAAAAACATTTCTTCTTCGTCGGCGCGTCAAATCGTTTAAGACAGGGCGGCTTATACGTGAAAAAGAAGACGAACGCGCCGTATTGTAAATAAAGAAGTGAAAGCGAAGAAGAAGGTATTTTACTGCTTCGGCGTGGCTGTAGCGTCTCGAGTGATACACTCCTGGACACAATTAATCGGCCACCTCGTAGAAGAGGTCGGTCCTAGTTGGCTGCGTCGATGTTGCTTGGGAGCATCTGGTCACGTCTGATTGAACGGATGTTGATTTCCTGCACTGTTGGTAGAACTTCAGATGAGTTACTCCAGAGACGGCAACTGCAGCGATCTTGTCCTCTTGTTGCACCTTGGTGGAGCACACTGCCTCGAACTTCCAGCAGTAGCACAGTCGCTCAAAGCCACCAGCTCCCAGGCCAGTCTCCTTCATTCGATGCAGCTTCAAGTCGATATTCTAAGGTCCGACGACAACCGATCGCCATTTCTCGACCAGCGAGGCTTGGGGAGTGTCGGAGCGTGCTACTCTGTAAGCACAGTGCGGCACATGCATTGCAACTGGATACGCGTTATCTTGACGTACTACGGTATCTGCGTCATCAGTCTAGTGCAGCTCGTAGTTCAGCTTCAAGGAGGTCAGAAATTGGACATGCAGCTCGAGGGCTGCAAGAAGGAAGCGGCCGCTCAACGGCATTTGCATAGCTCTCAATTCTACTCACTTCTCATTTCTCCGGGTTTGACTCACATACCAAGTTCCTATCGATCCAAAAGGTTATGAGAGCCAACGCCAACACCACAACCGCCTTCACGACCAAGCTTTGCAAGTTCGCCGGAACGGGGTACCGCGTCTGGGCGCGGCAGCTCCAGCTGTATCTGAAAGTGAAGGATGTGTGGGGTGCTGTGTTGAAGCCGGCACCAACATCGCTGCAACTCGAGAATGAGCAGACCGGCCAAGCTGATCGTCCGTTACAGCTGAGGGAGCGACCGCTAGATCAGCTGCTATTGCAGCAGAAACTCGCCACGACCATTATTCTGTCGGCGCTGACTGAGGATCAAGCCGCGTTGGTTGCGGACTTACCGCATCCGCAGGCCATGCTGAAAGCGCTGCAGAAGACGTATCGCCATGTGTGCGACACGACAGTCGGGTCACTTAAGCGACAGTATCTGGCTCTCTACGTCGATGTCGGTGGTGACATGGTGGAGCACATCAGGCTAACCCGCTTGATGTTGGCAGAATTGAAGTGCTATAAGATATCCCTCAGTGATTCTGAGAAGAAGAGTAATTTTCTACAAAGCCTTGGGCCCGACTGGAATGGCTACATAGGCTCGCTGGAGACATGCACTACGATCGATGAGCTTCTGATTAAAGTTGCCGCCGAGGCAAGGCACCGTGCGACTCGAACACAACGTGGAAAGCGGAGTGGTGCCCCAGCAGTGCGTGGCGGTAGTGCCTTTACGGCGGCCACGCACGGGAAGTCAGGTGTGAAGAAGGGTAAATGCTTCAACTGTGGGAAGCGTGGTCACTTCAAGAATGAATGCAAGTCGAAGAAGCGACTCATCGGTGCATATGGCGGTCGGAACAACAGCCAAGGCTGCAGTGGTGGCGAAGAGAGCGGTTTTGTATTTTATGTGAGCTCTGTCTCGGACTCACTGGGAGCCGACTGGATAATTGACTCTGGCGTATCCAGTCACATGACGGGCGCGCGTGTACTACTGTCTGGTCCGAGTAAGATGGACGCGAACGTTGTCATTACGACGGCTAATGGGATGAAGCTTCATGCGACGCATCGGGGGAAAGCGGACTTGCTATTGGCTACTGACGGAATGTGCACTTTGGATCACGTACTGTTTGTGCCTGGGCTGCAACGCAATCTCGTCAGTCTTAGTAAGGTCGGAGCTGCAGGGCTTACGGCCACGTTTGATCATGAGCGATGCGTGATTACGAGCGGTAAGTCCAAGCTGGTAGCAACTCGACGAAGCAGTGGCCTGTATGTTGTGGAGGTGCCCAGTACCATCCGTAATGCTGAAGCGGCATACGTGTCTGGCTATCGGCTGAGCGACTTATCCCTCTGGCACGCCAGGCTTGGACATTTGAGCGTTCGAGACTTGATTAAAGTGCTGAAAGACGGTGGTGTGACAACGCGCGACAAGCAACTGCGTCCCTGTGAGGCTTGCGCAGCTGGGAAATTAGCCAGTCTACCTTTCTTATCGAAGAAACCACGAAAACTTAAGCGCGGACAAGTCCTGATCGCAATCGAATATGTGGGGCCAATGGAAACGACATCGCGTGATGGTTATACCGGCTTGGTAAGTATGATGATCGAGCCCTATCACTTAGCTGCGGTTTTTCCAGTCAAAGAAAAAAGCTCAGCTACGCAGCTGCGAGTACTCCGTGAGTGCATTGCAAACTTGAAGGTTGCAGTCCCGAAGGCAAAAGTGTCTGTACTGAAGAGCGACAACGCTGCTGAGTACTTTCCAGATTGACAATATACCAGCTCCATGTCCGCCGTTCGCTTGAGATAACCCAGCACACGACCAACTGCAGCTTGCACTGTGCGTGTTGTAAGCTCCGTTTCTTGAGCGATGAGACGAACGGCTGTGGCAAGATCAGGACGACTCACTGTCGATGCATATAGTAGCGATCCCACAACAGGACGAAATGATTCACCAATTATCTCCATATATCGATCACTTGGTGCTGGAAGTCGATGTTCATCGGGGTGCGAGGCTGCATTTGACCATAGCTGTTGTCAAGTCGCTTGATCATCATGCCGGCATACTTCAGCTGTGCAATTGACGGTATGTGGCCGTTCTTGCTCCATGACATCTCCATACCAACGAAGCTGCTAGAGGCATCACACTTGCTGATCGCGAATCGACGAGCAATATTCACTTGAAAGTCAGTCAGTTCTGTAGTCACATTACAGAAGATGAGCATGTCGTCTACATATAGGAGAACGACCATAATGCTGTTAGCGCTGCGCTTAACAAGAACGCAGGTGTCGGATTGGCACTGCACGAAACCACACTCGCACAAGAACTTAGTCACGGTCTCGTACCAAGGTCGCGACGCCTGCTTCAACCCGTATAGAGCTTTACGTGATATCCATACCTTGTCATCACCATTTTCAATCGGGGGGGGGGGGGGGGACAAAGACCTCTTCTGACAGGCTGCTGCTCAAGAATACCGTTTGCACATCAAGTTAAAGATGATCCCAGCCGAGTTGAACAGCCAAAGCCAGAATGGCTCGGATTGAGTCATGACGAACGACGGGGCTGAAGGTCTCTGTATAGTCCACCCCACAGTGCTGCGTGAATCCTTTGGCTACTAACCGGGCTTTGTACTTGTCCATGGATCCGTTTGCGAGAGTCTTACGACGAAATACCCACTTGGTTTGCAAAGGACGTACGTTCGCTGGAGGAAACATTTCTTCGTAGGTGCCATTGCGTCTCAAACTGTCCATCTCTGCGCTGATAGCTTGGCGCCACAGCTCCGCATCCGGACGAGACATGGCTTCTTGCAGCGTGAGTAGGTCTTGGAGCTCACTCACCAATGTCATTTCCTCCGCGCTGTGCGACTCCTCAAATTCGAGTCTGCGAACATTTCTTTTTCTTGATACGAGTGCTGCGGTGAGGAACTTGCTTGTCCATGCGGGGGTCAATGATGTGCTGCCTCTGTTCTTCTCCGGCGGCCGATGTATCATGTTCGGCAGGTTCCATTTCCACGTCTTCTTGTACTGTATCCAGCCCAACCGGCACAGTCTCACTGGTTGGCTCAGGCTGTGTCGCTGCTGGCAGCTCTCCCTCTAGTGTCACTAACTTGTTTTTGGGGACTTGAGACTCGAAGAAGACTGCCGTAAGTGATACGACGACCGCCTCGTCCACTCAGCACCCAGAAGCGATACCCACCGCTTTTCTCGTAGCCGATATAGACTCCTTTCGCCGTCTTGGCATCCAGCTTCTGCCGCTGCAATTTGGGAAGCAGCACTTCAGCATCACAGCCAAAGACTCGCAGCTTGCTCAGCACTGGCACACGCTCCGTCTGTGCTACGATAGCTGTCGCCCCAGCTAGTACCTTAGTCGGGCAGCGAGTTCGAATGTACGCTGCGGCCAAAACCGCGTCGCTCCAGAAGCGCTTTTCCATCCTAGCTGCCTGAAGCAAGGATCGCGCCATTTCGATGACAACACGGTTGCTCCGCTCAACTTTGCCGTTCTGCTGCGGGGCGTATGGGGTGCTGAACTCTTGCGCAGTCCGGTTCTCGTTGCAGAACTTGGCTATTTCCCCACCAACAGGGCTGCAGCTCGAAGTGTACTGCGATGCTGCCTTTGCATGCGAGAAGGAACGGAAGTCGTCCTCTGGCTTCGTTGTGGTTTTGAATGGGTGCTGCATTGCGTGGGGGTCAAAGAAACAACCAATCGTCACTCTGTCGACTACTGAATCTGAGTACGTGGCTCTGGCGTACGGTATCAAGGAGTGCATTGGGCTCAAACCGTTGCTGCTCGAGCTGGGGCTCGATGTTGGCAAGCTAATCGTCCACGAGGACAATCAAGCGGCTCAACATGTTGCAAAAGGAAAAGGTGTCTCGCAGCACTCGCGTCACATTGATCTGCACATTGATCTCTCGCAGCGCTCGCGTCACATTGATCTGCGTTACCACTGGGTGCGTGAGCAAGTACAGCGCAGGATCATCCAGATACGCTATTGTGCAACGGCGGCCATGGTGGCAGACTTGCTTACAAAGCTCCTGACTTAAGCCAAGTTCAACACGTTCATCACGACGCGGCTTGGCATGGGCCGAGTGGGAGTGTCGGAGCGTGCTACTCTGTAAGCACAGTGCGGCACATTCAGTGCAACTGAATACGCGTCATCTTGACGTACTACGGTATCTGTGTCATCGGTCTAGTGCAACTCGTAGTTCAGCTTCAAGGAGGTCAGGCATTAAACATGAAGCTTGAGGGCTGCACACAGGAAGCGGCCGCCCAACGGCTTTTGCATAACTCTCAATTCTACTCACTTCTCATTTCTCCGGGTTCGACTCACATACCAGGTTCCTATCTATCCAAAAGGAAGCTCTTGGATCACTTTGAAGAGCAGTAGCGACATCCTTGTCATGAACACGACGTAGACGCTTGTATCGTCTGGTCCGTGGAGAAGTATCGTCTTGTCTGTCTTGGTTTGTCTCCTTGCGTACTGTCATTTGGTCGCTGGCAACATTAACCCATCAGGGATATTCGTGATCCACCAGTGCGTAGTGCAGACTCCTCACTGCGAGCTCACGGAAGAGTTTATCTGAATTGTTGTCATCCGAAGTTTGCACATTTGCTTTGTCGTCCTATACGCCGACTTTGTGGGTAAGCTGCGAGAAATACTGGAGGCGTTCTTGACGTTCATGAGCTAAACCTTTGAGCTCGTGGTGCTAAATTTGGCGCTTCAGTCGATTCTTGCGGCAGGAAACTCGGCTCCGAAGACGTCGACGGGTCAGGGAACATTCCGGCTTCGAGCTCGCTAGTACTTTCCCGGCTGAAGAGGTTTGTATTTCGACAGATTGAGCTGCACTCAAGAGCTCAATGAGCGTCGTGATTGGCGTCTGATGAAATGCGAACCTAACGATCTCGTCACGGGGGTACTGAAGGATGTGAGGACGCTCCCCGGAGAATTGGTTTACGTCTACCATTGCTGTGGTGATGGCGTGCTGCTTCGACGATGTCGTCGCAAGATAAGGGGGAGATTTTCGTAAAGTGCGGGTCTGGCTGGACCTTCGACTCGCTACTCTGATTCGTGGCAAAAGAAAACTAGGGCGAGAAAGAACGTTTTGCATTTTTTTCTATCAGATAGAGACGGATTTTCTCACAGCCTGAAAGTAGACACGAAAAAGTTCACGCGTTTGGAACATTGTTGAGCTACCTGTCCGAGCCATCCACTAATGGCTGCGCCTATGTCGTGATGACACCCGTCTCGGGTAGCGGTGGATTGAGACTGCTCACCAGTGTAACTTGAGCGTAATAAACTTGATACATGTCAAACGAAGTGCGTATTCTGCTAAAAACAAAAAAAAGGCGAGCATTGAGAAAAGGCTTTGAGGAATATGTAAAAAAAGGAAGATCCCGGTGTCGATGAATTACTGGAAAGTTATTTTTTTCATTTATTTGTTAACACATTTTGGCAAACCCGTGAATGCACGGACTCTGTTGGTTGTTGTGCCCTCATAATGTAGCTATTAGAAAAATGTAACGGTTTTTTTATTTAACCCCTTCAACCCGAAGGATTTTAAGGGTGACGCGAACCTGTATATACAGCATACATTAGTATAGAAAATTGTATACCTCAAGGGTTGGGTGAGATGGTGAATGAATAGGTTAGCGGCGTAGAAGCTACGGATATCGCGCGTTGAGCTGTATATACCCCGCGAATGCGCTGTATATGGACTGGTATTGCACTAGCATCTTGCATTTCACCTCGTAACACGTGTACAGAACCAGATCGACCCCCCCTTGGAATCTAGAGAGTTTTGTCAAAATTTAACAATAAAGGTGATCCGGAAAATGCAGATCAGACCCATCATATGGATAGAGACGCTCCTAAAGTACAAGCAATCATCGCATTAGAATCTCGACTAGTTATCCAAAGAACGCTCACTCTCACTTTTCACTCTAAATCTTTCTCTTCTTCGGATGACGCTCGGCGGCGCTTGGCGGGCGACTTGCGCAGACGTATTTTACCCTGCATGCTGTCAGGAATGTCCATGCCGTTCTTGAGTAAGCTGTGCCAGATATCCTAGCAACGTCGCAGCTCACCTTTCTTGGTATGATTCGGTTTCAAGCACAGGTACACGGGGGGCGAGCTGAAGCATACATCGCAGAAGTATGTAGTAGTCCCGCCGCGTTTCCCGTCCGTCCGCAGCATGGAGAACACTTTGCAGCTGCGTTGTACACGTTTTAGCTGCCCTGAGGTTTTCTCCACTCGTCAACTTGCTTTGCCGAAGGAGCGACACACTCTGTTAACACCCCAGCATCAGAAGAAGTCGGAACTTGAACGGAACGCGTACTGCAGTCTGCAGGAGGAGATTGATCTGCAATAGCAGTATATGTTAGTCAAGACTGTATATACAACGAAAGATTAGCACACCTACCAGCACCGAACGTGTTACCTTCATACAAGTCTTCATCATTCATGTTGATGAGGCCTAGGTGCAACTTGCGGATATACTGGACATGGGTCAAAGGATGACACTCTGTTAACACCCCAGCATCAGAAGAAGTCGGAACTTGAACGGAACGCGTACTGCAGTCTGCAGGAGGAGATTGATCTGCAATAGCAGTATATGTTAGTCAAGACTGTATATACAACGAAAGATTAGCACACCTACCAGCGCCGAACGTGTTACCTTCATACAAGTCTTCATCATTCATGTTGATGAGGCCTAGGTGCAACTTGCGGATATACTGGACATGGGTCAAAGGATGTGTTCCGTTTGCTGCGCGAAAAGCCCGGTGTACAATGTAGCCATTGACAATAGCTAGATCCACGAGTCCCAAAAACAGCGACTTGTAGTACTTGCGGAAAGTCACTGCACGCTGCAATGAATATCGTTGCAGGCGGAGCTGATCATGCACATCAACTCCGCCCATGAACTTGTGGTAGTCCCTCACTGCTTTAGGACAAGCCACTTCATGGAGCTCTCCAGTCTTCTCCCTCCTCACAACCCTCTGAAGCGTAAGGTCACTCCCGGTACACAAGAAAAAAAAACTGGTTTGCTGTCCCACCAGTTGATAGCAGCCATTTGCTCCACTTGTTTGGATCGAACGGTAGTGAAAGTTCCCCGTACGATATGGTTGGGTCGTTTCTCCGGGTCCTTCTTCTTGTGTCTGATACTTGCAGCGAATCCAATTCGGTTTGTCATGAGCGTGCCAACGATATAGAACCCCATCAAAAGTAACTGGACAGCTAGCACCACACTAGAGTAAAAGCGATCTGTAACCACGAGCCGAAAGCCCTTGTCTTGACCGTCAGGAAAAGTCTGCCTTCAGGTTACGAACTACTGCAGCAGGACCCGACTTCTTGTCCACCGAAGTCGTGTCATCAATGTGTTGCTTCTTGTCTACATAGACCTCAAATCTGTATTATACCGCAGATATATACAGAATATCATAGATGTAAGATATATTATACAGCTTTTCACCTCCAAGCATTTCGGTAAGTACCTGATGCAGTACGCAGAGCGCGCGCAGCACAGCATAAACATCTTTGTGCCCCATTTACACGGTTTATCCTTCATGTACACGCGAGTCTTGTTGAACGACGATTGCAATGATAGCATTCCTTCATCGAACACAAGCTCAGCAGAAGGTATAAAACCACGACAGAATGTGCGCTGCAGCACATAACTACTTTTCGAATCTTCCAGGCTCTATCAGTCTTGGCGCGTGGATCAAGGTTGCTTGAGAAGTGCAGATTCCGGAAGCTCAGCAGAAGGTATAAAACCACGACAGAATTAGAGCCTGGAAGATTCGAAAAGTAGTTATGATTCAGCACATAACTACTTTTCGAATCTTCCAGGCTCTATCAGTCCTGGCGCGTGGATCAAGGTTGCTTGAGAAGTGCAGATTCCGGGAAATCTCCATGAAGCGGTCTCTCGTCATATAGTTAGAGAACTTGCCACGTCCAATAGCGCCTTCATCGTCCCGGGTCCAATGGTTTGAAATCTTTTCTCGGTTTGGCTGCACGGTCCGAGCGAGAAGTAGCCCCATGAACACACAGATTTCATGGAGAAGAACAGGATGGACTTCCATGAGTGACATACGTACATCTCCTCGTGAACGCAGCGGAGTCCTGTCATCCGGCCGGCGACGCTGCATTATTTTTTCGACGCTCTAAGTATGCTTCAACACGCGCCTCTGTTTGATCATGATTGTAGTTGCTGCTGCACACAGCAATATGTTGCCAAAGTGATACTGGCATAAAGTAGAAGAACGACGCTAGCGGTGAATCGCCACACTTCATCGCATCTGGGTGCAGCCTTCGATAAGGGAATATTTCTGCTAACGTTACCGCCAAATACCACGCATTTGTACCAGCTACTTGATGTCGCCGTCCTCAAGCCGTTCAAAGATGCTGTGGCTAATGTACTGGTGTCTAAGCTACTGGATGCAGCAGACATGACAGTATCAAAAAAACAGCTATTCAATTCGCTTGCGCGGCTTACAAGTCAACTATCGCAGAGCGGCCCAGCAATGCAATTAACGCATTCTCCCGTCGTCCCTCCAGAATAAGACAAATCGGCTTCGAAGGTATAGGGATGAGGATGTCAAGGACACGGGTGGTAGCTGAATTGAAAGCGAGAGGGGGTCCACATGGGCGCCCGCACGGAATATCCGCCAGCACTAGAGAACCTGAGCAAGAAGGCTAGAGTCACAGTTGATATTGAAGGAGTTTTGGTAGGTAATGACGACCTTCCTTATAATAGTGGCGTCTTATGTTCTACCAATAATAGAAACATCAGCGCGCACTAAATTGATCACTTGGGTTTTGCTTGTGGTTTTGCATAGTTGTCCATACTCCTTAAGACTCGAGCTACACTGTATTTTAGTTGCATTCTGATCATGTTAATGCCTTGATTCCACTTATTAGTAGATAGCGTGGCCTTCTAACTCGATCGCTTACGTCCTGGCTCAATTCCGTGCACTGAATCCGCTCGTTATTAATAGTGTGGCGATGGAACCCTTGTAATGGTACAGCATCTGGATACAGCAGTGATTCCTCTGGATAGTGATAAAAGAAAGCAATATCACTGAAAAGAGGTACTTACAATTAGTTTAGTGACACTAGCAC